TATAACAACTATAATTAAGAGAGTTTGGAGGAAGGGAGTCAGCCTGCAGTTTTTTAATTCTGTTTTGCCTGCACTGTATGATTTGCAGCAGCATATGGAGTCCATTTATTCCTTTTGCTACAGGTACAGGCACTCCTGCAGGCCCTGCATTTTCCCCACTTAAACCAGTGACTAAAACAGTGGGGTCACGGTTTTAAGAGAGAAAAGGTTTGTGGTAATGCAAATATTAACAACCACCAGCAAGAGCAGGTAGTGGCCTGGATCAGTATAAGCTGGTGACAGCAAACGAGTGCCTAGGGGAGTGCAGTTGGACAGGAGAGAGAGATTAAGGCAGAGCAACACTCACTGCTCTAATGCCCGTACGTGTCCTCACCAGGAGGTGCGAGGGAAACAGCTCTGCTGAGAGCAGTGAGGAAAAAGGGTGGCCAGGCCTGAAGGAAAAGAGAAAATTCAGATTGCACAGCGCTGGTGGTGATGGCAAATGGGTAGCAGTGGAGTATTTGTGAGTATTGTGAGAATAGGGGCAAGAATGGGGAATATTCATGCCTATACCCATCCATACCAATTCATGTAGCAGCTCCTAGAGTCTCTTGCATGCTTTGTAAATACTTGTATAGCTGTTTGTGCCAATCAATTCACACAGAAGCAGGAACTAGAAGTAAGGTGATGTGTGTCTCAGTGCATTAGCAGTCTTGACTTCAAAGGCCAGATCGTACTGAAGGACAAAATCACCTCTGTCCCCTAAACAGAAGAGCATTTTGGGGAACATAGGACATATTGCCAAAAGCTAAACTACCAGCCTTTTGCCTGACTAAGCCATTCAAACCCAGGGAGCCTCTTCAGAAAAAGTATCTTCCAGCTAAAATTCTGATGTCCCATGTTTTGGACATGGGACATTAACATGTTCCTGCTGAAAATAAGTGGCAGGACCCAGAGTCTGAAATGAGCAGGTCCAGACTCACAGTGAACTGCCCTGACCGTGTTGCTTTCCAGCCTTACGGGTCTTCACCTTTAGTGGGGTCTTGGCGCGATCAACGATCGTCACTCCCGGATCTAAGCGCTGAATGACAGCTGAACTTTGAAGGGAACTTCCGAACAAGGATACTTTTGCTGGAAATGTTCTGTCTGTGACATCTTTGCTGAGAATAAATAAGTGATATACTTGGTGGAAAAGGGGGGAGAGGGGAGGGCGGGGGAGCTAACGCCAGCGATGACGGATGCCGCATTATGGTCAAAAGGCCACAACTTCATTAATACGATGCCTAAAGGCATCCTCCTGACAGCTGTGGAAAAAGGAGGAAATGACACTCGCCTACAGCACTCATCAGCCTCTCCTCCCTTTCTGGCACTGCAGAACAAGACATACAGCGGCCGCCCAGAGCAGCCCTACCAAACAGGGTGAGATTGCCTAATCCCACCTCCCTGTTTCCTTTAGCTCACTGCAGGAGGGAACTGGATTCCTTCTCATCTGCCAATGGTCCTGCCCTCTGTCTCCACCAGCAGGAATACGCCCTAGCTGGGGTCACTGTAAACTCACACCTCAGCAAGGATATCAGCAGCAAATGCAAGCCAGGGGATGAGTACAGCTGTGGTACAGAGGTGGGGAGCTGTGCAGCACCTACTGTGGGTTATGACCACGTGCCTGCTTACCACCAGCAGCACCAGTCAAAGATCAAACAGGACCTTCCTTTTACCTTCTTTGCCCACTCTTCCACCCCCGTACTGTATGTGTCTCTAAAGCAGACCTTCGTGTAGCCTTTCGCTGCCATGGGTGAAAGCCAATGCTATCCACAGCAGCATCCCAACCTAAATTTATGGCAACCAGCACAGGGAATACAGCTCACGCACGTGCAAGAAAGCAGTACAGTCCAACAGGAGGCTTTTCCTGCCATAAATAAACACATAAAGAACTGTTTCATATATTTATGTCTTTTCATGAGTGATACTCTTTCTGACATGTCTCAATCTCCAAGGTCTGTGAGCACTTCTTGAAATTTAGTGATGCAGAAGGTTGGTCCAGGCGGATATGTTCACAAATTAATACCCCAGGGAATACTCTGGAGGTTTAACTTCAGCCCAGGAAAGTTACCCTCCCTTCGGGCAGTGCAGAGGGACAGGGCCCTGTGAGGGACACTTCAGATTTAAGCATTCAAAATCTCACATTCAAGATTTTTTTTCCTCTCCTTTGGCTCCAGAGACACACCCTGTGAGGTTGAGGTTAACCTTTGGGACTGTTCCCTACTTACTACATCTGCTATTGAATGGACACACTAAGAAAAATCCCAGGGGCAGCTGAGAACCTGGTGAATTCGGATTTGCACCACTCAGTATTACTGATGGAAAACATGTATGGTAGGTGTGTGACTGGGGCGAGGTGTTACCTGAACCCCCCAGCACCTGCAGTGATAGGAGCTATATTCTGGCCAAAGGACACTGAGGTGTCACCTCCCACCTGCTTGGTGGAAGTGCCAGCACCCCACACCCCAGCTGCGTATGGAGTCTGTCCTGTCCTGCAATGAAAACCTAACAAAAATGGCAACATTGACACTAACGGAAGGAAGGACAGAAAAGCAATGAGACCTCCAAGGTGCAGATGTGCTCCCTATGGTGGAGATGGACAGACTTGGCAAGACCTGCCCCCTTTAAACAACTTCACTCGTGTGGCTTTGGCACTGGGTGCATCTCGTGGTGCTACATACAGAAGTCACACAGTTCACATGGGATCAGTAGTGCCCCTGAGGTGAGCTGTGCCTTTCCAATCCTGAGACAACAGTCTGGAGCCAACAGTAATGCGGGCATGGTAATAACAGACGGGGAGAAGTAAAGGAAGAGCAAGCGCTGCCTTCTGGTAGCTCTGCTGAGGATGAGTAGGGACATGCTACAGGAACTAACGCATTGCTTTTAAGGGAAGGAAGAGAGCTGCACAGCTTCTGTCCTGCCCGAGCTGGTCAGACATTACATGCAACCGGAAGGCTGCAGTCAGGCACAATTTAAAATCCTGCCTCTCACAACTTTTACCTGTTATGAACGGCCGAATCCAGTCACTCATTGGGGTACCAGAGAGAGAGGCAGGACGAATGTCCGAGCTGCTTTCCTCAGAGGTAGCTCCTGCCCCTATAATGGCAAGTCCTATAATGCTGTTTCCATCAGGTTTGATTCCTGTGGTCTTTTTCTGGTGATCCCACACCAGTTTGGATGGCTGCTGCTCTTTCTGGAGCATTAAAACTCAACCCCTCACCCCCTCTTGATGAATCTCAAGTGAAATATTAAAATACTTATAAATAAACTTATAAATAACATGTCATGACTCACACAGGCAGGAAGAGCCACACAGTCCGTGCTTCATTACCAGGGCGAAAAGCCACCCAGCTGCAGAAGCAGCTCTGGAGTATGGGGTACAAATGCCCCAGTTATTTTAACTGCAGCTCCACTCAGGTCCAATAACTATCTTTTAGTACTGTTCCTGGTCTCTGATGTCTCTCACATCCCTACCTAGTCCCACTGGGTCCCACCCAAACTTCAGGCCCCCGTGGGGAGGTGGTGCTGAGACCGGGGCAGGCTGTCTGCCCTGCTCCCCCCTCCGGGCACAGGGTTGGGGTTGCCCATTTCGAGCTGAGTTAGAAACTTGAGCCAAAGACCCGTGCTAGCTCTGTGCGGTGGCGTCTTCCCCTTCCCAGAGGCACTGCCCGAAGGCACGTCAACTGTCCACGCCAAAAGCCAGCAGCGAAGTTCATCAGCTCAGGCTTCAAGCTCTGTGAAAGGAACCCTATCCACCCTCCGGACCGAAGCTCGTCCCCAGGAGCAGGTCGCTGTGCCCGCAGAGCACCACCGGGCTGGTGGCGATGCTCTCTCCAGCACAGATATCTGCAGCTCGGGCTGTCTGACCGGAGGGAATGGAAAGCTTCCTGTATGTGGTCACGTAATGACAGGCTGTGTCGCAACACACGTGTGCAAGGATGACAAGTTAAGGTTCAAGTGGGCGAACTTAAGCTAACATTCCCTAGCTGTGGGATGCCTGCATTTCCAGCCGCTCAGCTCTCCTTTTACAGTAGCCCTGTCTGTGGCATCTGCGCCTTTACCACTAATAAATTAGGGTTTACGTTCAGATTTCATGCCTCCTCGTTAGGCGTGATCAACCTCAGGAGGGTATGTAAGGAAGCTCAGCTGTCCTGCGTCAGGAACGGTGCTCCTTGTCTGACCAGAACCCCGATTTCCCTCCTAAGTGACACCTCCTAAGAAGCACCCGGGTGTTTCTGACTTCAGGGCGGGCACACCCGACTTGGGGGAGTGCCGTACCCCCGAGAGGGGACACCGCCAGGCAGGTACCAGCCGGGCCTTGCTGACTCGGCTTCCCTTTTTGCCCAACTCCGCGCTTTTTCCCTTCTTTGCCCCTGAGCCGCGCTCCCGCTGGAGCCAAGATGGGCCAGGGGTGGAACGGGACACAGAGTGAAATGAGTCGCTGCGGCCGGGCTACGGTCTGCCCGGAGCGGCAGCCCCGACTCAGTTTGGCACGGGATGGCACAGCTCGACTCAGTACAGCATGGACTGGTACAGCTCGACTCGGTTCGGTACGGGTTGGCACGACTCGGTTCGGCATGGGTTGGCACGGCTCGGCATGGCTCGACTGGGTTCGACTCGGGTTGGCACGGCTCGGTACGGCTCGACTGGGTTCGACCCGGGTTGGCACGGCTCGGTACGGCTCGACTGGGTTCGACCCGGGTTGGCACGGCTCGGTACGGCTCGACTCGGTACAGCACGGGTCGGTACGGCTCGACTCGGCGGGCCCGGCAGCGCCTCCCCGCGGCGGCGGCAGCGGCCGCTCGGCGCCGCCCCGGT